GTGCGCGGCTTACCGGGCCGGTAAACGGCGGGAGGAGTCTTGTGCTGAGGGGCTGCTGCCTCAGCGGTGGTCTTCCCTGCCGTGACAGCCCCGGGCTTTCTCAGCTCCTGTCTTCTCGCCGGTCTGGAGACGGCAGGAGAGCCGTTGTTCGCGTGTCCCCTGAAATCGTATGTCCCGGTGGCAAGAAACGGTGGTGTGAACTCAGCCTGCAGAGGCGATGGAGTTCAGACCTGGGATCGCACCAGGTAGCTTACTTGTCAAGTTCAGATTCTGAATTCCTTGGGGCGAGGACTCTGCTATTGCATGTGGCTTATCTAACAAAATGGCTCGGTTTGAGCTCTTAAGGAGCTGTAATGTTTAGCTGTAACGAGCGGCAGAACTCGAGGGGTTCACCTACAAATTGTGGGTGATTTACTAGAACGTAAAGCAGTTTGCTTTTTCCGATGATTGGGATTACGTTTTCCGGATAGGATCTGTGCCGCCTGTTAAGATTGAGCTCACGGTAAAGTTGCTTCTTGTCAAAGGATTAATAGGATTGCTGCTCTTCTTGGTCTCCCGTTTTAACGATCCTTTAAGAACTTAACATTTCTTAGCGATACATTTTAACAAATTTAGCTGGAAATGGCTGATAAATTCAAAAGTCGTAGGAGATAGGACTGTTGGGATGGGCTGGGCAGAGGTAGGATTGCTTTATAATTGCATAAAATTTGTTTCTTTGAGAAAATGTTCTGAAATACTTTTTTGTTTTTTTTTATTTAAGGTAGAAACGTTTGGTACTATTTGCAGGTTTTTAAATGAGGGTGTAGTTTGTAATAACACCTTTTGGAAAAAAGTCATTGGTACCTTAAACAGTGCAGAATATAAACTTCGAATCTAAAGTTGAAGAGTAAATCAGCAGCATTCACATCTGTAGTCATAAAACAAGCATTAATGTGCAAAGAATCTGCTGATACCACTATATATATTGGTTTATGTAACAGAAGACATAGCTTAATTCTTGTCTTGGTTGTATTTGTTTAATAAGCGCATCAGTATCAAAGCTGTTTGACTTTACTGCTTATCTTGCTCCATCCCATGCAAGATCTGAGATCAGAATGCTGAAATACTGAAGGAAGTCTGAGTATGTGCTAACATAATAAATGCGGCTTGTGTTAGGCACTGGAACATTTAATCAGGCATACTTGACAGTAATAGAACTAAGGTTCTGTTGAAATAAGCAATCTCCTGGAGATAATGGTTTGCTGAATAGTATTATAATTAGCTGACTGGAGGATTCTTTACGGAAAAAGTCTCTACTTACAAACAAAGGGAAGGTTTCTATTTACAGAGTATTTTTCTTAGCAGGCTTCTATTTATAGGATATTTTGTCTGCAAATTAGAAGAGTGCTTTTATGATTGATCTTCAGTGACTTGCAGCAGAACAAGGTAGCAGAACTTAATGTTAGAATCTAAGAGCTCTGTCTGTGGAAACAAAAATACAGGCAATCCCATTTTCAAACTGCAGTGTACTCTTTTTAGTGTCATAGAGTTGATTATAAGGAAAAGTGTGTCTTCAGACTCTGTTTTAAATAAGAGACAGAAAGATTGAAAAATGTCATTTTACTCCTGGCAAAGATCTTTTAAATGGTTGTGTGCTCTAGGAAGATAGAAATGTTTTACAAGTTTTGTGTACTGAGATAAAAAGTATTCCAGCTCTCTTAGTGAACCTAACACCCTTGTCTCTGAACAGGAATTTCTCTGGCTCCAAACAGGAGTTAAGGGTTTCCAGAAACATTACTGGAAGTCTTCTGTAAAGGAAGTCATAACTAGGTAAAAGACAATGCCTAAAATGAAAGGCTTCTGTCTAAATGTGCGTGCTAATGCTCCAGGAAATTGCGGAGTAAAAACTTTCACTGCTTTCAGTTG